AAGGAAGAGCTAAGTACAGACTAACATTAAGTACTGATGTAAATTGGTCTTTCCAGCATTAGTGTTAGACTGTTTATGGTTTGTGTGAGGGCCATCTAAATGATAAACACCCTCATGAACTAAGATGCCAATTATTTCCTGACATTTCCAGCTTGTGAGAAGTATTAAACCTATCATTAACAATTAAAATAAATTCCTGGGTCTGCTCAGCCTGCAGTACTGGATAGTGTACCTATGAGGGATGATGTAAGATTTCTTTCCATATGGCAGTAATTTATGGCATATAAAAAGATTCAGCATATGTATGGTGTCCTTTAATCAGTAAAGCCCAGATAACTCTGGTTTTGTACCTGAAGTGAACTGCTAAGCTTCCTCTCATGCTGTGAATCAACTGAATGTATACGAAAAAATCACTTCTCACTGCCACATTGCCAAACCAGAACTGACGTCAACTCCTTAGTGAACTATATTTCAAGTAATCAAGAAAAACGTGCGTTTCTAGCTGTGTCTCAGGACAAGTAACAAGACTTGTATTGGAACAGAGCCAGACCACACAGCTTCTAGCAGAATGAGCAGTCTTTTTAAATATTAAACTTCTAAAAAAGTTTTCCAGCATTGCCACAGTTCACAACGTAGTATCAGTATTCTTAACAGATCTACAAAAACTGGGAATGAAGACAGAATTGAAACTGATCTTCAGATGTAGTGGAAATGAAGCCAAATCAGTTCTTAGATGTTGGAGTCTGGATTGTGTTCCCTGGTTTGTTTTGTTCCGAATTTTATTTCTACTTTTCTTCACTTGGTTCTGTACAGCTTCATTTATGAAAAACTTGTCATTTCAAAGAAAGTTATGGCTAGGAAATGAAGTGAAATGACTGTGCAATGCCACAGACCCACTGTCAGCACCAGCCAGGCTAGGGTACTGATTCAAAAGTTTGCAGGGAGGACCACGTTGACCAAGAAAAAGCAACAAACCCACTACAGTCCTGCTGGGTTGGACGTGTGTTGCACACTACCTTCAGGGGTAGGGGACTGCAGTAATGCTGATCCATGCTGAAGCAGTCCCTACCTAGAAAGGCACAGGACAGGGAGGAGGGAAGGAGAGATTGTTTCTATAACTAAATTGTTCTGGGATCTTGCATTCCAATAAGAGTCAACCTCAGAATCACTGAACAGCCCAGGTTGGAAAGGACCTCACAAGATCATCGGGTCCAGCCTTACCTGGGAAAGGGAATCTAGAGAAGATTATCGAGCACTCTGCTCAACTGCATCTGTAAAACCTCCAGTGATGGGGAATCTACCTCATCTCTGGGGAGGTTATTCCAGTGAACAATTCTTTTCACTGTAAAAATTTCTTTCCTATACAGAGATAACTTGTATCCATTGTCACTTGCTTTTTTTTCCCATGTGGCTTCTTGTGAAGAGAGACTCTCCATCTTTGTAGCAATGCTTTAAGTACTAGAATTCTGTGATGAAGTTTTCCCCTGAGCATTCTCCTCCAGGGAGATGAGCCTGAACTCCTTCAGTTCTTCCTCACAGTGCAGGTTCTCAAGCCCCGTGATCATCTTTGTGCACCCCCCTCCCCCTCAATCCTCTCCAGTTTGTCCACATCGTTCTTGAATTATGGGGACCAGAACTAGACACAGCACTCCAGGTGCAGCCTAACAAGCACTGAGAAGAGTGCTTGGATGACCACATCTCTATCTCAGCTAGTAATGCCCCTGCAGACGCAGGATCCAATTTACCTTCACTGCTGCCATGCCATGTTCAGCTTGCCGTCCAGCAGGATGCCCCAGGAACCCTTCAGCAAGGCTGTTTCCCAGCCACACAGATCCTAGTCTGTACTGCATGCTTTGGTTATTCTGTCCCAAGTGCAGGACTTAGCATTTGTCTTTGATAATCTTCATACCGTCCTTGCTAGTCCACTCCTCCAGCCTGTCCATGTCTCTATAAGATGGCTTCCCCTTCCAATTTGTCCACCTCTCCACCCAAACTGGTGCCATCATGGTGACAGTGCTGTCGATCTCATCATCCAGATCACTTACGAAGATACTGAACAGTGTAGGGTCCAGTATTGATCCCTGAGAGACTCACTTGTCTGTCAGGTTGCCAGCCTGAGTAAAAACCACTGATCACTGTGGCCTATTAGCCAGTTTCCTACCTATCTCACACATCACCTCTCCAATCTGCATCTTGCCAGTTTGTCCAGAAGGCTGTGCAAAACAATGTCAAAAGCAGTTTACTCCAGCTCCAGATCTGACTGGATACCTACTTGATATACAGAGCTGAAAACAGCTCATACAAAACTTGCTCTAACACTGGTTAGGAAACTGAGATTTTAGATGTTTAAGTCCAGTAGATTTTATGAATCTACTTGGATCAATCCGTGTTACCCACAAAACGCATAAAGCTAGATTACAAAAAAAAGACATGATATCATGCCAAATCAAAATAATGACCTAAAAAACCCCCAAACAACTTTTAAGATTTGATACAAGCCACAACAGTTTACTTCTCATTATATTTCATATTCTCTTTATAATTCATATCCTCTTCCTTAAAGTTTACTAATTTTTATCCTTACTTATCCTATGTTTAGTAACAAACTCTACAGGCCAAGTTGCATATTACCAGAGAGGTTCTGCATATTACCCACAAAGATGCGGCCCTAAGCTGTAGGAAAGGTCACCTTAGAGGTAAGAAGAGAAGACAGAGATGTAAAATAGTGCAAACAACTTAAAATCTTTACCATTATTCTTCAGATTGTTGGTGACTACTGATATTTCAGCACTCCTGAGAATTCACACTATTAAGCCTTCATTCTGTTGTGCTCCGCATGTTTCGAAAATATTTCTGACCCCCAGAGCATACAATCAAAGCACTGCAGAATAAGAAGGGGGATCAGACAGACAAGGTTTTATTCAACAGAAAGGGTGGTGACTATGCCTTAGGCATAGCTTCTGTCAATCCTGCTCAATTCCTGTATAAGCAGAAGAGCTTCAGCCAAATTTCTATGATGTAACAGTAGTGAACGAAACACACCAGCTGACTTTTAAAACAGCTTCCACTGCAAAAGCAACCTCTACACAATTATGGTCTGGCAGAGGGAAGAAAGGATGCTAATAACCAGCATCTGCATTACTTATTCAAAAATATCATGGGGAGATGGGATGGCATGAGAGCCACTTCTTGATGAATTCTGCTGTAGATATACCACAATTCCCACAATCTCTCATATGCTCTTTAAGCCACATCAACTATGCATACCAGTATTGAGAACATTTCCCTAACAGCATTTGGCAACGTATTCTGCTATGTGTTGTGATACTCCATCTTTACTTGCTACGTGTAATACTAGTGTAAATCTAGGTTAATTGTTACTACGCAAGATACTAATGTACCTTTACAGTTTTCTTTCTCTTGCATAACTATGTCAGGGTATCTTCCCAGCTACATCTGACACTTGTTTTCTGCGACAAACTATGCTCACTTCTCCATGAAGTTCTTCATCTTGCAGGAAGAGAGATCAATAAACCAATCCTGGCTTTACCACTTTTAAATCACATTCATGGTAAATCTGTTCCCTTGCTTATGCAGACCATTGTTTGGCTTTTAACTTTTCTGATCTGTACTTGTATTCCCTGCAGAGCTCAGTATTTCAGGTAGGGACACAGGAGTACAAGTGCTACCTATGTGCACCTATGTGCTACCTCTATGCAAGAAGATGGAAATACAGAGACATTAAATGCTTGTGTATAACTTAGTACTGTACTTCCAAGCTTCAACAGATAGACAAAGGGTTTGTTTCTTCATGACAACAGCAGGGCAACACTATCTTCCAGCAAAACACTACCCAGCTAATGAAGGACTTCAGGAACAATTCCCTTTTGCTAAGCAAGCACCGGCAGCATCCTTGCCCTGAGGTATTCTGACTTGTCATCACCAATTCAAGCCAGAAAATCTAAAGCCATTTTGGAACTTGTCTCCTGCAAGAAGACTGCCCAACAGCACCTATGGCTTGATTCAGGTCCTAACAGAATTTGAAGTACCAGTCCATTATTTATATAACCAGAAATGTGTGATCAGAATGACTGATGTAGCAGCATTGCAAAAGTAGCCTTACAAACATGAACAAATATATGAATTTAATCTAGCCAGACTGTTGAGTAAAGCAGCCCTCAGATTATGGTAAATAATATCAATGCATCCTTTGGGCATACAAATTTTGTAAATTATCAGCCAAAATAGGCTCAGAAAACAGACAGACACTTTAAATATATAATTAAGTCTTTCAGGTATTTCAAAGGATTAAAAAGATACAGATCAATCACATACATTGACCAGGCATAGCTGACAATATTCAGTGTGGTGCTTAGGAAAGCAGAACAAAGCCAAAAGAACTCAATCAGGCTGCAGGTCTACCACAGCCACTGGCAGTTACTATGCTGGGACTGCTGCTTAACAATACTTCTGGTCTCCTCCCATGTTTCTTTCATTACAGACATAAGGATCTCGCAAGGCAAAAAGTAAATAAAAGTAACAATTTCCCACTATTTAATAAGTAACTATCTACTCCCAGAGATTATACCAGCCAATCTGAGTCAGCACCCTGTAAACAGAAATGTTTGAATAATCAACTACTCTTTACAAAACACTAGATACTGTTTAATTTTATTCAAAGCACTTAAGGGAAAGGAGTCAAAACAACTCATGGTTCACATGCTTGTTTATCTTCCTAAAGGTTTACAAATCTTTGGTTGACTGGGACACCCATAGCTGCTTTGGACTCTTTCACAGGACTTGTATCTTATGAGAACAGCAACCCTTTCTTTCCTACGTATATGTGACTCATCACTGTACCATTTCCAGTTCTCATAATCAAGCTGAGCACACTCTTTATATACAAAAACATGAAAAATTGCCAACGCAGACCCGTCTCTACCACAGTACCTTACTGATAATTTGAACAAAAATCAATAAAATAAAAATAAGCTTGTAAAAGCCAAATAAAAACAACCTAGAGGGAATACTGCTTCTCAACTAATATATACTAACCTTATTCGCTATTGCTCACTAAGAAGATGAGAATACCACAGACACATAGAATAGACACAGAATTAGTCTGAACGGGCTTTCCCCATTTTTTACACTAACTGGTTTCATGTTCACTCCCAGAAATCAAACTATTTTTCCTTTTCACCAACTCTTGTTTATATTACCACAGGGGTTTTAAACCTAGTTCTAAAAATGTGTACTGTATTTTCTGAGAAAGGTGTTAAACTGGTATTCATCTAGTAATTTTGAGAAAAGTTATTGTATACATAAAAAAAATGAATACCACTATTCACACTAGTACCATTGGATCATCATGAACAAAGTGATGCCTTGTAACACAAGCCAGGCACAAGGAGAGGGGTGGTTTGTTTTTAAGCACAATTTATCCAAGTTCCACAGTTTTGTCTGGCCTATCCTTTTACCACCAGAGACAGAGGAGGTCAAAACTATTTCTGTCACTTGAAAGCAAGACAGGGAATAGAAAATGAGGAAGAGACTGCATATTGTTGATCCTACGTGGCTAAGAAGTTACTAGTACACTTTTGACGGTTTCAGTGCACTGAAGAGCCTCATCAAAAGACTTGCTATGTCTATCCTATAAATATCCTTGGGAGATCCCAGACATGTTTGCCCTGAGAACAGTAAGCTCAAAACAGTGCATATCTCAACACTGACAAGCACAGTCCTACAAATTCAGACAGTGAGCAGCTTTTCCCCCCTCCCTTTTTTTTTTTTTTTTTTTTACTCACTGGAAGGGAAAAAATGGAAGATATATTAGCTTTTTTTAAATAATCCAGTCTCTGTGATCATCATGTGTTCCTGGCTTAAGTTAACAAACTATGTTAGTTTGACCAGTTGCTTCCAGATTTCTCTCTCAGGCAGCAAAATGTCTCTGTAGAAACATTAATGAGTACCTATTAGGAAAGACACAAGGCAACAACTAAACTCAGGCTGTGCTAGTACCAACAGAGTAACTCAGTCTTTTGTCTTTTGAACAAATGTGTTCTGGTGGCCTTTATTTCTTCTTGGGTTTTTTGATCAACCTAATACAATGGTGTACAAAGCAAGTTTCGTACTTAAACTTGCTTTAGGTACACCACGACCACGAAATATGCTTTGTTGCATATCCGTTGTGCATTGCTAGAAGTGCACACCAGGGAAGGCATATTGTGCCTACCTTATTTCTAGAATTTTCTCTAGCTGCTCTTTGGAAAAAATAATACTGGACCAGGCTGGACTTTTGAACTGATACAAGGAGGACTATATTTCTTATTGAGAACACAGTTCACTTTTATTTTACCTTTAGGCTAAGAGTTACTTTTTTAGATCTGCTCAAGCTCTGTTTAAATGCCCCATGTAACTGGAAGACCCATGGATGTAGAACACATTGGCTAGGGACAAACAGGAAATGTAACTCAACTGTCCCAAATCCACTGTGAGCTCAGCATGTTACATAGCAGCTAAAGTTATATAATTAAATAACTCAAACTGCCATGGTCTGACCTTTCCCACAACAAGTAAGTCCTAGATATCAAACTGCACAATCATCTGCTTAGAAGTATCCTCAGCTCTCTCATAACTGAGCTATCACATAGCTTATAAAAGTGACTGTGCCAGAAGTGAAACAGTTTACAGGAAGGGTATTCTCTCAGCAGGGAGGGAAAGAAGCCTATACATTATTTGTTTCTATATCCAGTTCATAAAATTCATCTCCTAATTAATAAAAAGTTCAGAAAGCAGAACTTTCAGAAAGTTCAAAAATCATGTGCACATCCTGATCTCATTTAAAAAAAAAAAGCCTTCAAAACAATCTACATCTCTCTTCTATGCAAAATCGTGCATAAAACAACTGTCCAATGAACAAATGCTTCATGGATTATTTGTTTCT